AAACAATTGGAAGCAAATGATTGAGAGGAATAGCTCGTGCAAAAATGAGAGATCCTGTGTGGTCCCTCGCTACAAATGCCACACCTGACTTCTAAGAGGAATTGGCTCCATCAAAGTTAATTTTTAAATGGCCATTGGGTGGCTTTGTCCAGTGCACTGGCTGAATCAATTTGTTTCTTGCAGGATCCATATTGCTACCATGATGGTTAGAAGTGACCAATAAGTTCTGATGAGCAAAATCAGTGGCGTGCTGGATAATCATATGAGGATTCCATGGGTTGTTATTGAATAGTAAAGCATTTATTGCAATCCAAATATGCCATAGAAAATATATGATTTTCAGTAAACCAATATCAATGATGAGCCTTGATTTTAAAAGCTTTATCCAGATTGTGAGCCAATTAGCAATACTCATGTCAGTGGTTACATCAGAACGGATAGCAATGTCTGCACCAAACCAAACTTGCTTTGCCAATAGGCATTTGAGAAATAAATGTTTAAGGGATTCATCATCTTCCTCACACAGAGGGCAAGAAGTATTTATGTTGTTTAAGCACCACTTGCAATCTTCTTTTAATAGGAATAGCATCATACATTATTCTCCAAATGAAAATCTGCAATTTAGGTGGAATGAATTTTAAACTCAAGAAATAATGCCACGAGATACCATCACCGAAAAGATGGGCAAAGAATGTAAGGGTTTTTTTTTGTTAGTAGGAGTTTGTACCCAGAAGTTGTATAGTTTCCATGTGGTGTTAGAGCCCAAGCCAAAATATCTTCTATTTCTTCATTTGAGATTGGGAGAGATGTATTATATATATGGTTAGTTACAGTGGTGTCAAAGAATAGGTTCACTAGATCAAACCGCCAAGTCATTGTAGAGTGGTCAATTAAGCTTGCAACCTTTAAAGGCATATGTTGGGGATGAACATAATTTAGTTGAACAACTACAGGTAACCACAGACCTTCAGTAATGTTAATATGCGAACCATTGGCCACCAGCCATCGACAACCCTTTAGAAGGTATGGTTGGCATTTCAAAATGCCCTTCCAGATATATGATGAACCACTGTTGATTTTGGCATGCCAAAAGTTTGAGTTCTTAATATATTTGGCATGGAAAATTTTTGCCCACAAATAATTGGGATTGCTCAAGAAATGCCAATCTAATTTTATAATGAGAGCCACATTCTTCAAATTTGTATCACGGAAGCCAAGTCCACCAAAATCCTTTGGTAACATAAAGGATTACCAGGTTTGAATATGTAAAGTATTGAAGTTCGAGTCTGACCACCAAAAGTTACAGCAAACACTGTTCAACTTATTACAGATTGTTGCCGACAATAGATAAGTTTGTTTTATATATTGTGGCAAAGCTTGAAAAATAGTAGTGATGAGAACACTTCTTCCAGCATGAGAGAGAGTATTCTTTTTCCAACTTGACGATCTCGTTTTCAACCAATCCACCAAATAATTCCATTCCACAATTTTAGGTCTACCTAAGAAGAGAGGACCACCCAAATATTTATCCCATCACTTCATAAAGGATACTCCAAACTTGCTAGCTATTCGAATTCGTATTCTTCTATGTGTGTTGGTGCTAAAGAAAATGGATGACTTATTAAAGTTAACCTCTTGTCTAGACTAGTTACAGAAAATATGCAGAACATCAAGAATACGGGTTGCCTTAGTACAACTGCATCTCCCAAATAGCAAAAGATCATATGCGAACATCAAGTGAGAAATATGGATGCCAGTTTTGGTGAAATTGAAGCCATGAATCCCCCTGAGTTGAAGCTTGGATTCTAGGAGCATGGACAACATTTCCATACACAAAATAAAGAGGTAGGGCGATAATGGACAATCCTATCGCAAACATCTACTTGGACAAAAAGAAGTGCTAGGTTTACCATTTAAAAGCACCGAAAATTGGGTTGTTGAAATGCATTGATAAATGAGGTTGCATAGTTCATTTGAGAACCCGAAGTGATGAAGAACAAAGCGCAAAAAGACCATTCCATTTTATCATAGACTTTAGCAAGATCTAGTTTAAGAAGAAAGTTTCCAACTCTACCTTTTTGCTTATTCATGTTATGAAGGACCTCTTGAGTGATAATTGTGTTTTTAGTTATGTTTTGTCCAGGGGTGAAAGCACTTTGAAATGGGGAGACCAGTTTGGGGAGGATCGGTTTCAGCCGATTGCAAATGACCTTGGCTACAATTTTGTATAGAACATTGCTTAAGCCGATGGGCCTGAAGTCTTTTGCACTTTCAACTTTCTTAGTTTTTGGGATCAAACAGAGGTAAGTGAAGTTCACATGTTTGATATCCTCGGGATTTTTGAAAATATGTTGTACTCAAGCTGTGATGTCAACACCCACAATGGACCATTGATTCTGTAAAAATCCTGCGTGCATTCCATCCGGCCCAGGTGATTTCCAAGGTCCAATCCCACATAAAATGGCCTTAACTTCCTCAGTGGGGGGAATACGATAAAGTAAATCATTATCTTCAGGGGAGAGAAACCTGTCTAAATTTGGAACTTGGATATTTGAAAAATCTGGGCTAGTAGAAGTAAATAGATCTTTAAAATATGAAACAAGGGTCTGAGATATCTCATCATCATTGGTGGTCCAATTTCCAACATAATTTTTAAGACATTAAATTCTATTGTTTCACCTTTTGTTGGTTGTAGAGATATGAAAATATGTGGTGCATCTATCACCATGCAAGGTCTAGTCAACATTGGCACGCTTCCAATAAAGTTATTCATGCATAAGCCAAGATTCTAAATCTTTTTGAATTCTGGAAATGTCTTTAAAAGTTTTAGGAAAAGCTGGGCGTGATCGAAGATGAAGCAATTTTGGTTTTGTATTATATTATATTATATTAATAGGTAGTTTTGGTTTTGTATTAAGCTACTTGATATGTGTCTAATGATAATTCACCCCTAAAAGCTAGTTGTTAGAGGGAGTGAATCCATATATATATTATATAACAACATCCCATACTACCGATGTGAGATATCTCACATTAGCATCCCATATTGCTAACGTGAGACAAATGGATCATAACATTACTCAATACAATGCTTGTAGTTTTTTTCATAATTCTTTTATGTTGCTATCAAATGATATACATTCTTATATTCCATGAATTCACAACTAGTGAGAGAGATTCCTTCAATGCAGAATGCAAGAAATTTATAAATGAGAGAGTAATTTTGGAAAATGGCATTGCTCTGATTCACAGCTTCTAAAGAGAGAGTAGGAAAAAGATGTTACCGTTAGCTACTCAATAAGTTTAAAGTAAAAAGACAGTGAATAGTAGATTCTTCCCGATGCTAATTTTGGGAGTTAAAAATGTCTTCAATCACACCCATGACATTATGTGTGTCAGATAACTGATGAAATGAACAGTTGAAACAAAAATAAATCAAAGCTTACACTCAAATCATTTGCACTAGTTTTACATCAGTGCAAATTAAAATAACATCCCAAAGTACAAATTTGCTTACCCATATAACTTCCAACATAATCTACAACGTGCATCTCAAATATGTGTCATACTATATTTACTATTCTTAGTTATGAACCTTCGTTGTCTTCCTAGTTCCCACTACTGTATGGACATCGTTCATATAGAATTTACATCTACATTGAAGCATTAACCACGCCATTCCACTAATCAAATAAATTAAGTAAAAACTGTATTACACAAAAAATCATATAACACCTTGAGAACATAGCATCCAACTGTACATAGGGAATATATCTCCATCAATTTAACATATAAGTATGAGAAATATTCCCAATATAGTTAGGGGTGATGGTTGATTGTGCCAAGTGGGCTTTGTAAGGCTATAACCTAGGTCTGAGCCTTGCTCAACCGGAAGAGTTTTGGTTAGTAAGTACCTCATGAATTTTGACGAAGATCACTTGTTTGGTAATATCTTTTATAGTGCTGGTTGATTGTCCATAATATATATATATATATATATATATATATATATATATATTTTTTTTTTTCTGGTATCATAGTTGAACCCCATTAAATATATTAGAGATATTGCTTGAAATACTTCTCCAAGGGTTGCAATCTGGACAGACCCAACCTGAGCCCAAAAGCATCAAGTTTTAGTGTGGGCTGGGCTGAGTTGGATAGATCAGGCTTGTCTTCAAACTTGGTCTATGCTCGGGCCTTAGGCCTAATTTTTAGATTGGGATTGGGTTGAACTTAAACCTGCCCCAACCCATTCAACTTGCACCCTTAATTTTCCATTTTTTACATTTTCTTTATTTTTGTTGTCTTTTTTATATCATAGACTTCTTTTTTTTTTTTAATCTTTTTAAAGCAAATTTCATCTTTAACCCCTGACCTTTTTTATATAAGGGGTATCGACGAGTTAGGTCTAAGTTGGCATAGGGTAGAACAAGAATAGACATGACAAGAAATATCAAGGTCCTCGAATTGAACCAGACCCTTTATATATTATGGCTCATCAGATGGGGCCTGAATCAGTTTGTCCAAAACCGATAATAATTGGGACGATAAATTGGGAACCAAAATCGATCCATCGGTACAGATTATGGAATCAGAAACCGGCCCAATCCCACCGGGTCGGCCCCGATCCATTGAGATCCCTATTTTTATACCTTCAATTCCTGTCCATGCAGCATCGTAGATTCATGCACTCGATGGTTGATTAGTGGAAACGGGCATATAATCATCAATTCTATCTATCCCTTTTAGAAAAAAGAATCCTATTTTAGTGGTTATGATTACGTTTCCAACCAAGGAGACACATATTATAATGGTGGGAGCGGAATATATTATTAGTTCTTTACGGCGGCGTGGTCGTTTGGGCGGTAAATTGAAACCGCCAAGTAGGAAGAAAGAAGAAGATTCCCTCTCTCTCTAATTCTCTATCGCCCGGCCCGCATGCATACCACACACATGACACAACTCTTAAATGAATGAGGAATGCCGCAAAGCCCTCCCGCGCCGGTCCCCACCGCATCACATTTGAATTTGAAAAAGAACCACCAAAAAACATCAATCCATTGAGAGAGTAGAGAGAGGGAGCAGCAGTATAAGCAGAATAACGCTTGTCAACGCGCTCCTGCGTATTTTCAAAAAACCAAAACCAGATTTGAAGTTTGAAAACATTCGCAACCTTAATAAACCCTAAGCTTACACTATTCCCATTCCTCTTCCCTCTCTTCTCTCTCTTTCGGTCTTCCCCCTTTCTCCCTGTCATCTCCGACTCTGCACAGATTTACAAACACTCACTCCATCATCTTCTCCTCTCCGTCTTTTTTTTTTTTCGCTAAATTATTGACCAGAGAACAATGAGCGATAATATGGAGCCTGGGCATTCGTCTCAGTTTGTGTTTCCACGAAGAGACGTGACTGTTATCTGGTCTTCTCAACCTGACGTTTAATTCACAATTGAACATCCATAGGTTCAATCACTTTTTATTTTTCTCAATTGTCTTTCGCGGAAGTGGAAACCATCATGGAAGATCCGTCTGGTTCGGAATCTGTATTGGGTCCACCACTCGTGAGTCCTAGATCTGATCCAAAGGTTTTTCTTTACCTTTTTTTTTTTTCTCGGAGGAGGTTTCATTATTTTTTCTGAGAATCTAACTCTTTACAGGTTACGGTGCTTATTTTTCTTGTTTTTCTTTTCTAGCCGTTGGCGGAGAAGCGAGATTGTACAGAATTGGGAGGAAACTCAGAGCTCGCTCCCAAGCGAATTAAAATGAGACATCTCGAATCACTTTATCGCTTCGGGGCAAATTCAAGTGAGTTTCCATTTTCCCGCTGTTATTTTTCGTCATTTGATTGGGCTCCAAGCAAGATTTTATCCTGGAAATGCTCGACTTTGCTTACATTTTATTGCTTACAATTGATCATTTGCCATGCTTGGAAATGTAAATACTAAAATTGGTATTTGGTTTTCGTGTATGTCCTCGTTCCGTGTATGTTTCATTGTTTCTTTTTGTGTAGATATATTTTCTGTTAAAGATATATTAGCAGTTTAGCACCTATAGCTCACGTTCTTATGTGGCTTCTCTCTCTCTCTCGCTCTCTCATTTTCAATGATCTAAAATTCTTGTGTCAGATGATGGTTTATCTAAGATACGTTTCTGGAATTACTGTTTTCCTTTTTTTTCCCCTTCTTTACCTTCTCTTTTACCTTTCTAAAAAGTATATCTTTATGCTGGGTTCAACGTTCCTTAGTATATGAAGTATGGTTATTCAAATTTCTGCAATGACTTTCAATCAACAGGGTTTTAACTTTTGATTTCATGTTTTATTGAGAACTTCATTTTGAATTGTAGCACAGGAACACAATTGAAAATCTTGTCAAACACCCATTTTTTGGTCTCGTCTTACTATTTTCTTCCAAACTGCTTATTTAATGCATGGTTGGTTGTAATTCTAAAAGTCTTGCGAGGAACTTTGGATCCTCTTTGCTTATTTGTTCAGCTCGCTCTACATTTTCCATCTTCAATTTCATTTGTCTGTATATTTCCTTATACACACTAGAAATTTCTGGTTCTAAGTTATAATTCATCTTGCAGTTAAGGAAAACCATTATGCGGAGGAATCTTTTTTAAGGAAAGAAACCACAGACCGATTACACCTTGACATAGAGGAGACATCCCAAATCACGCAAGAGCCTTCAACCACAATTTCAGATGCATTCCAGACAATAACAACAGGAGGAAATGAGCATTCTTTCTTAGAGGAAGCCACTCGTTTGAGTTTAGGTAATGTTAATGTTGCTCCAAATTCTTTTGATCTCAATGCCAAAGCGCATGCTGCTAATAACTCCATGCATGGTGAAGCATTACTACATGTTGATGATATTAGCAAGCCATCTTTGCTTGCAAAGCACCAGAAAGATCATGGTGGTAATTTTACAGCTTCAAGAGGCACTGGGTTGGATCTCAATGCAACAGATGTCTCCAGCTCAGTTGATCAAGAATCAATTTTTCCTTATGAAATTTATGGTCATGTTAAATCCAGAGAGGCTTCAGAGTGTGGGAGCTCAACCGGGCCTTTGGAGGAAAATGACTCATTGAAATTGTGGAAAGAGATGAAGCAAAATGGTTTCCTCTCATCTTCACATGGAGGCATACCGGTGCCTAAGCAGCGTGGGAGGAAAAGTAAAAATGATGTGCTCAAGAAAAAAATGGAGCTTGCAAAGAGGGAACAGGTTAATAGATTCACGAAGATTGCGGCCCCTAGTGGGTTACTCAATGAATTGAACCCTGGGATCATTAACCATGTGAGGAATAGTAAACAGGTCCATTCTATAATTGAGGCCCTAGTCAGATCTGAAAAGCTTGAAAATGGTCACATTCAAAGAAGATCAGAAAGCCATTTAAAAAGAGGAAAGGAAATAAATGATAGAAAGAAAGACCCAGAAAATGTTCATGATTCAGGAATTAGTCAACCTAATCATTCTCATGAAAATGAACCTTCAAATACCATATCAGGAAGTAGGCAGCCTCCTTTATCCTTGGATAAACAAACTGTTTCTTTGAGTTCAGATCATAAAGTTGGACATGATGAAACATATGTAGTGGAGAGAAAGATTCATGACAAAATTTCAGGTGCTTTGAACTTCACCTCTGAATGTGCTGATAGTGCTCTTACAATTAAATTGTCATCAGCTACAAATGTTGCATCAGAAGATAACAGCTCTGTGTCTAATGAGGAGCCGGTGAATCAAGCGAGTGTTTCTTCTCTTTCTGTAAAAGGTCAGTTTTAATATTAGGCATAAATCTCTTAACATATTATTATTCTCTTTGTAATTCATGCCTAGTCCTACACAGTGTTCTGAGTTCACGATGGGAAGAGATACAAAATGTAAAAGGGTGATGGTTAGCAACTGGCTCCCTTATGAATAGGACACCCCTGCAGGGAGGTGTTTGGCAATACTAGGAGCTTGGTTGTCCATAGAGTGGCTCACCGGGAGATTATCTCGGTTGAAAATTGATCTGGCCTTAAGTCTTTTTTTTTGGTGGTTATATAAGTCATTCTTACATATTTAACAGGAAAGGTAGTTTTACACATAACATAGTTTAATGGATGACTTAAAAAGAAATAGTTGTTAACACCTTAAGCTGATTTGGGTGTTTACTTGGTTTCTTAGCTGCCACAGTAGCTTCTCAGTGGTTGGAACTTCTTTATCAAGACATCAGAGGACGTCTAGCAGGTATTTCTATGCTTTTGTAGAAGGCATAGGAGATTGGCAATGAGTAAAGATATCCTTAGTGCAGCATATTTATGTTGCTGTCTTCTTTTATGTGCAGCATTGCGGCGCAGTAGGAAGAGAGTTCGGGCTGTGATTCAGACAGAACTGCCTTTTCTAATGTCAAAAGAGTTCTCTTCTAACAATGAAAATGATCCATATTTGAGGCAGTCATCCACTGATGGACATCCCAACATTGCAAGTCTAGAGATGCATCAAGCAAAGTGGACTGCCTTGTTTGATCAAATGGAAAATGCACTGGCTGAAGAGGGGAAACATTTGGTGAGTCTAATAGAAAATAGTTGGATTACAGGCTCATTATTGTGATTTTGAAAAAAAAAAACAGTTGCAAGAGGTACTATTTTCAGGAGATCTGAGCTTTACTTCTCTCCATTTCCTGTATGTACACCTGCTTTAGCATTAGGATCATGCATTTGATGGTCCCAACTAGAAGATTTTTTTTAGGTACCCAGAAGCTCTAGCAGATTATCATAATAGTCTGCTCTCACATTCCTTTGGACTAGACAGCAAAATTTTCTGGAGCCATATACACAGTGAATCAAATGATGAGAAATCCAATTAGGAAAATCTTTTTCACCCAGAAGATCTTTGTGGTTGGAAACTGTGTCCTTAGTTGTTTACCATGTGTTGATGTTTGAGTCATCTGTTTTTTCTCAAGAAGTACCTTGTGCTTCCTCCTTTTTTGTTATTCCCCCATCAAAACGTATCTTGTTTATTAGAATTGGCCTTAATCTTGTGTCTGGGGACACAATGACTTGCCATATCTTGCATGTCTTGGAAACTAAGATTCACCAGGTTCCCACCCTGTAGATTGGATATTGGACAATTTGTTTTTAAGGTAAAATAAAATGTTTACAAATGGAAAACCAGATGGTTGAAGATCATCTAACTAAGTTGATTTTATAAGACCAATGTTAGAACTGGACCCATATGGTGGACTGGTGGTGAGTCCCAATCCTAGAACCATGCAATACTTCTATGGTTCCTGGCCCCAGATCTAATATGCTCACTTAAGAGTTAATGAATTTTAGTTTGTTCTGTCAATAAATGTTAATTCATTCTGTTTGTTTTTGGTAGGCATATAACTAGTTTTTTGGTTTATAAATCAGGAACACTGGTTGTATCAAGTCAAAGAGATGCAATTGCATTGTGAACAGGGTCTACAATGTGTAAACTGGTTTACAGCAAATGGTTTGCCACAAGTCGGTGGATCAGATATTGAATCTAGGTAAAACCATCTCTTTCAACATTAACATTTTACATTATTATAGTTTCTTTTATGATGCATTGGAGTCGAATATAAAGACTGTTATGCCCCTACTTAAATATGGGACACATCACCTAAGTTGGACGTTACATCAACAGATTGTGGGTTTGACATGGTAATCTAGTCTTTTTCATAGCTGTTTTTGTTGCATTTGGAGTCGAATAGGTTTTCACAACCAAATTGCTAATTTCTTTTGCAGATTAAGAAAAGCAGACTACTCAGAGAGGGAATTAGCCATAAGGGCAGCAGCAGCTTCCATTTACTCCACTTGCAACTTTGTCATGTCTACAGAAAATGTGTCCTGTTTCTAAACTTGTCCAAAATCCAAATCCTCCACAAATCAGGTTAATTTCTAAATTAATTGGATCATTTCCTAGTATTAGTCTCACTAATTTCAATTGTGCATTTATTATTAGTCAACGAAATAGTGATTCAGGTTTGCTTTGGTGTAACATTAGAAGCTATAATTGATAATTTGTGTTTCGAGTTTTATTGAAAGTCAGATTTTCAGCATTGACCAGCACGGGGAGATTATCAGTGTTATTGGAATTTTAATTGTCAAATAAAAAAGATTATGGAATATGTGAATTATCAAAGTATGAAGTTCCAGTTATTCGTATATGTTCTAATTTTGTGGAATGAGTTTTTGCTTTGAAACTTTGTCATCCATCTGGCTGTTAGGATTGTCAATGAATTCCAAAAGATTGAATACCCAATTCGACTCAGATTATCTTGGATTTGGATGTTAGAACTTGCATCCTATTAATAATTGGATTTGGTGTGGATTTAACCCCATTTGACTCAATTAAAATCAGAGTTTGATAAAAAATATTTATTTTATGTATATATGTAGTATAATTATGTATATAGTAATATAAATAAGTATTATGTATAATTATATAAAGTTTATAAATGATAAATTTTAATATTTTATATTTATATACATTTATTATATATAAGTTAAAAATTAACTTACAATACATTTATTATACTTACATTTATCATGGAAGTCGCATTGCAACTTTGCAAGCAGGTTTTTTTGAATGCAATGGTCATATTCACTATTCAGGGCAATGGTCATATTCAGCTTATCCCTTCGAGATGTATACCTCCACCTCAGGGAAGCTGTAACCGGCATTGTCATTAGTAACTCTCATGGTCAATTTATATTTGGAAGAGCAATTCGGTTGTCAGTTGTTTCTCCACGAAGCTGAAGCCTACTATGTCCTTCCATTTGTGAGAGGTTTAAACTTTAAACTTGTCCCGGATTCAGGTTGAGAGTGATTGTCTAAATGTCTTCGACGAGTGAAACTTCTGTTGGCGAATGATATTTTGCCTTGATGCATCTCCTCCTCATTGATGCCTGTAGAAGTTTAGTCAACTCTTTTGGTATGTCCGCATCAAAAGATCTTCAGAGTAGCACATGGCATTGCACGGTTCGCTTGTTCTGTTCAAGCCATCTACGCTTTATGGAACCAGATTTCATTCATGCTTGTTGAATAGTAGATGCTTTATTCCTTACTAAAAAAAGTAAAATAATTAGTTTCTTTTTTTTTTAAAAAACTTTGTTAAATTTTTAGTCATTTTAAACACGATAGTTGTCATTCATTAATGTAAAATTACATATGATACAAATGCGGGTTTAGGAGTTTCATTGGACATGGATGCAACTGTATGGTGTATACGATCCGAATCCGATGTATTTACAGCCCTAAGTGGCTATTCTTTGGCCCACGCCCCACGCTTAAAAACTTCGACCGAAACTCTATACAGCTAACAGGTCAGGTCATGAATGCTTGATCCAAGATGTACCTGCGGATGCTTATGCATACTTGCATCGGGAATCTGGGATCGTCTGTCCTCGGGAGACATCTCAAATCTATTCCCTCACAACGTGCGAAGGTGGAAATTGCAAATTTTCTATTTTTATATAATTTTAGTGAAGTAAAAATTAATTTAAAACGTAAGAAATTTTCCAATTGTATCTGGCTTCCCGCTTCCTGCGTCTTTTCGTCTCCCATGTGTGACACTAAGTACGTGTTTGGGATCGATGCCATTTTCTCATAAAATGGTACAACATTAATGCTACATCAGAAATATGTTTTCTGAGGAAACACCTGCTGTTTGGTACATCATCTTTTTGAAAAATGTTCTCAGACCACGCCTTAAAATCAGAATTGGGAAATTAATTCTCCAAATGTATTAATCACAACTTCCTATATACACAGCACCCCTCCCCCAGTGAATTGGAAATCTTCCCCCTAACACTGACCCAAACTGATTGCATTGAATTCATATCAACTCCCCATAGGACACGTCTCACAGCGCCCCACAGCACATACCAGCCATATATCGAGAATATCTCCCAATAACAAATACGGGAGATGCTCCTAATGCACGGTAAGATGTGCATGTAAGGCGTCTGTGGGTGCTGATGTGATTTTGATCGCATTATGAATTCTACGATGGACTGAACTCAAATTACCCCCCAAAAATATATTCTGCATTATATTGTTCAACGTTGGAGTTGACTTTGGATGTTTGATTGCATGACCTATCTCCCTAGGAGTGATCATTTTCAACTTGACCCGGTAATTACAAACTTGATCCTAGGCCAAGGCCCGCAAATTTCAAGACTTGTAAATATTTGCTTTTTTTTTTTTGTTTAAATCCAAACCAAAATTGAACCAAATCAATTGATTAACTGGTTCTGGTTGACTGATTTGATTTTTCAGTTAATCGCGTTTTTTAATAAGAAATGAAACCAAGCCAAAAAACCGAAATTTTGAAAAAGAAAAAGCAAAATTGAACCAACCGTTTTGGTTAATTGGACTTTTCAGTTCAGATTACTGGTGGTTCAATTTTTTCAGTTTTTCTGGTTTTTCATGACCACCCATATTATTTGCTCCATGAACGAGCATTCTGGGCAAATGGTTTAGCCATCACCAATAAAAAGCATGCTCTTTATCAGGGTAAGAGCTTACTATCGGTATCAAGGTAAAACTATCAGCTAAACAAGCCATAAGTTTTAGCTCCTCGTACAGTCGTACCGTGCCTTCTCAATCTGCAAGCCTATTTTCACAAGTGACACCCCACAATAAGCTTCTCGATCATGCTTCCATTACCATCAACAATCCTTCATCTGAATTCCTGATCCATCGATTAAATGTAAGTTAAGGCCAAATAACAAAAGTAAGTCAAACAGGAAGATGATTGTTTTCCTCTGGCTTTTTGTGCTTACTTTAACTTTGTAAACATAACAAGTCTGGTTCTCAACATACACTCAAATTTTTTAAATATAACGAGCCTGCTTCTCGCTTCAACAGGAACTGGTAAATGGAGAGAGAGAGAGAGAGAGAGAGAGAGAGAGAGAGATTGCTTGTTAGATATATTTCACATAGAAAAGATTACAAGATGTTCAATAACGTATCATTTTTTAGGTCAATCAAATGGCGCTGTAATAACTTTCACTGTGAAGTATTACAGTGCATGGTTCCAAGGAATCAAAACTTTTTATTTTTTTAGACTGTTGTCAAATTTAGTATGCAAGAAGCTGCTGCATTTAGATGTCCTATGGTTGCTTCAATTGTGGGTATCCAAGGATTAAAGCCAGTTTGGAGTGGTCTTGCCTGACATAAGATTTGATAATGGATTATCAGAAACCTTGGCCAAAGAACGATACTGCAATTTGACACTCTCTGCATTGTCCAATGTCTTTACAACGTACCTGTTGAAATCCAAAATTAACGAGGAACCATACAAATTTGTAATTACGCACACATTCAGACGAAAGGAAAATAGCGACTCAATACATCCACAAAAATATTATTTCCATTAGGGCCATGGGAATTTTGTCTACACCCCAAATAGTTGGGATTAAGGTTGCCAAAAATTCTCTTGGGCGTGAGAAAAGAAAAGCCTAGGGAGTACATAAGTCCATTCTAGCAGAGATGATGGACTGATAGTGTTTTTCCTTTGAGAGCTTATTGAATGTGTTCCCTCACCCTCTAAAGCTAAAAAAATTCTTTAATTCTCCTTTCAAGTTCTATACATTTCTATCGAGGAATATGCATTTGACTTGGGGGTATTGTTGTCTTTTCTGTTATTTGTATTTTGGGCGCCCTTATAGGGGCATAACTGTAATTTCCATCTTAGTATATAATGAAATGTTTTTGGTGTGAACAGTAACCCACCCTATTTTTCTTCTTCTTCCTACACTCAGACACCTATTTCTAATCTATGAAGGTTATGTATTCAAGAAGTCCCATGGTGCCTGATGTTTGCTGATAGCATATTATTAATTGATGAAATTAGCAAAGGATTCAATATAAAATTAAGTTTTAAAATAACTGGGATTAAAAAATGAATATATGCAAAATAAATTTAACAATAATAGGAGTGCAAACCAAGGTATACTTAGGATTTGAGACCAAGAGATAACTCAATGTGACCTCTTTTATTACTTTGGTTAAATAATTCATAACAAAGAAGAGATTGAGGAGGATGTTGCCTATAGAATTAGAACAAGATGGGTAAAATGGAGGAATGCATATGGAGTCCCTACATAATAGGAGAATGTCACAAAGGAAAATTTTATAACAATGCTATAAAGCCAACAATGTTATATGGATAGAGTGCTGGACAGTCAAGAAACAACATGTTCAATAATGAGTGTAATAGAAAACTAGTAATGTGAATGTTGAAATGTATGAGTGGGAAAACTAGAAATGATAGGATCAGAAATAAATTTAGTTGAAAGAACCTAGGAGTGGCTTCAATAGGTGATAAAATGAGTGAAACAAGATTGCAATAGTTTGGTCACGTGTAGAAGACCATCTAAAGCACCAGTACCAAGATAGATGTGATTAATTGTAACTTGTAAGTTGAAGGGTCTATAAGAGATAGGGGCAGACTAAAAGGACATGGGTTGAAGTAGTGAGAAATGGTTTTAAGGGCCCATTATTTAACGATGGTTATGGTACTTAACAGAGTGGAATGGTGGAGCAGGATTATCACAGATTATTCAAATTAGAAAAAAGCCTGTAGAAAAAGGAAAATATTAAAAAATGATAGTAAAAATCTATCAGAAAAGATTGAAAAAAAAAAGAAACGAGAAGTTTGTGCAGAGTAGCTAAACTGAAATCTATCAGAACAAATTCCACAACCCACACGCCCACTAAAACTCTTTTCCCCCAAATGTTCCTCAGAATTTAATCCAAGGGTTGGCAGCACATTCACACATCCATACAGATTTTGTGGATCACTTTCATGATACATACGAGGAACTAATTACGAGTTCCCATGGGTGATGGTGAAAGAAGTCATAGTAAATGGAATAGATTGAGGTATAAATTTCACATTTTATATTTTGCATAATTGATGGACAGAAAATTGATGAATATATTTCACATCTTTCTAGCATTCTTCTCTAGAAAAGGCATATCATAATAGAACTGTAAAAACATGGAATGGGAACAAATACACAGAGATAACTAACCATCCATTCAAGCATTGTGTTGTTATAACAGCCTCACGTCCAATGAAGCGTTGTGGTGTCCTCTTATTACCCTGGCTCATATTCCATTGAGGTATTACCTCCCAAGTTTGAGCAAAGAAAAATAAAAATATAATACACTAAACTTTGGGTGTGCACTATATATTACCCTTATGATAACCCGGTCACTAACTGAAAATGGAAATTGAACACCTCTACCCCTTGACATGTCCATGGGAAATGTATCACCATAACCATACTTGTCCTGCAAAAATGATGAAATAGATATTTAGAAGGAAAAGGAATATCTAGGAATGTTCTAAGTAGAGCTTAGATGGCAAAGTACAGGTCATGGAGAAGACAAACCTGTTCAAACCTTTCTCTTCTTCTTTTTGATGCCCGAAAAGACTGCAATTCTTCTTCCCTGCGAAATGCTTGAACTGCAGCACGCAGAGCTATGCAAGCAGAGTAGAATATATCCAGAGTTAGTTACCGCCTTTTTGTTTTTTCATCACTTTTTATTGGTCCACGTTTTATGGATTATAATAAAGAGAAAACATCTGATAGAATCAAGTTATAGAAACAAAGTGTTATCCAATATCTGTCAATAAAAAAACAGTGTAAGGAGAACCTTGATAGGAGAGGAATGGATATTGACAACTGCCTTTGCCCATTATGTGAGCAGCAGCAGTAATCTTTTAATCACTTATTTTTGCACAGTGACTTCTCCAGTAAGGTCTGGTCACATTATCAGAAGGCAAACCAATTGTGTGGATGTTTTCCTCTTTCAGTTAATAAGCTCCTCAGAGGCTGAAATGTTCCAGGAATGAATAAGAAGAGAAACAGTATTGCATGTGGTTCCTTTGGCTGTAATGTGGGCAGTATGGTTTAGGGCAAAATGCAGGAGTTTTCCTTCCAAAGAAAAACCCTGTCAAGGCTGTTATTAATGCATCTTTTGGTTTTATTAAGAGTTGGCTCTCCGCTCATAGAGCCTTTTGTGGGGATTTCAGCCATTCCTTTTTGTCTATTGACTTTTTTGGAGGCTCATGGTAGCCCTATGGTTGATGCACAGAATAGGGCTTTTGTGCATTTTTTGGTATCAATATATTATATTTTACCTTTCAAAAAAAAAAATCAAAAGCAGTACAAGGGCAACTAACTAAAGATGATGTCAGTAATTACAACTTCAACAAAACTGTTCAAATGTTTCATTTAGATTTACTGATAAGAAATGCTTAATGGGGCTTTAGGAGACATGAATACACTAAAAAGTTGTATCTAACCACCAAACATCTTAGAATCACTACTTGTCTACTTCATCTGCACAATCTGGTAAAGCAAGCTAGATGCAGAAAACATCATGAAACATGCCGGACAATGTTAGATAAAAACAAGGTCCCTCATCAGTAATGTAGCATTGACAGCTCTAAGAGCAACTGATGTAGGACTACCTACTTGGATTATTTCTACGTCACATTTCCTTTTTGTTTCCTGGCTTATTTCACATAAGTGAATAACTAATGTATATGATGAATGCCATTTTTTAAATTAAATGTTACTTGGTAACAATGGCAACATTGTAGACCCCTTTTTTGCAGGTGTATAATGTTAGAATTCAAAATATATAAACTATTTTAATAATATAAACTTTCCATGGACATATCTGCAAGTTCATATTTTTCCATCTTGTTGAGTCGGACTCTTGAACATACATCAGATTCTTTTTTTATCAGTAAACATACATCAGATTCTGGCTTCCATGTCCATGTCTATGCAACACTAGTTAATAGTGATTAAAGGAATAAGAGTATATATTGGTTAGGTTAAGAAGTCTTTTGAGGCAGAACTACAAGAATTACATTTTCATCCCAAATCTGCAAAAAGCTTCAGATTAAGAAAAATGAGTCTATTTCAATGAAATTTGTAGGTAGGATTTGAATGGATAATTGTAGAGAGTGACCAAGTTTGATAGGATTTAGAGCACATCTTCTTTAAAAAAAGTCAAGAAATCTGTTAATATTTACGTCCCAAATCACCACCAAGCCTCCTACCGTGCCAATAGCTAGAAGCAAGGATTGAAATTCCGCAATGTATTAGCTTGTATCAGCCAATACATATTGTATTGGTGGGTCACTAATACGGCACTTAAGGTTGAGTTTCAGGGGCTGACCTAAAAACTAAAAAAATATAAGCGCCCAAAGATACATGCCAATATGCCCCATCCAGTGTATTGGCCTGTATCAATATTTAGAACCTTAGCCGTAAGAGACTCGCAGTTACAATCGTGCTCTCCCCATACAGTCCTTGTTGTTTGAGTTTCCATTACTTCCATTTTGGTTTCTTGGAGACAGAGAATATCTGGTTTCCATGATCATAAGTGGGATCCTACTACTATACTCCTTCGGCCGGATTTTAGGCCTCTAATATTTCAAGACACTATCTTCATTTAAATGAATAAAGGTTTTGGTGCACTACCCTAGCCCTTGCTTCACCCCCATCAATCCCTATCCTTTCTTCCTTCCTTTCCCACCCTAACCGTGCTGCCCCTGCATTTTTAATTTTTCATTGAGACCCAAGAGAGCCTGAACAATTCCCTCTCTGTTTTCCTCTCCATTCTTCCTTTCTCCTCTAGCATCCTCCTCTCTACCTCCATTAGATACGCCTTCGTTAACCCCTCTATACCTTTTAAAGATACCCCAAGAAAGCCCAAAATCCAAAAAATTTTGAAAGAACCCAAGTAGAAAGTTCCTCGACATAGATTCTACCCTCAAGAAGCACCCCGGCCCTTCGTTCGTACTTGTTTTCCTTGTAGTTGAGACAGAGACCTCACCAACTGTCGGCCACTCTGCTGGTAAAGAAGTAATAGGGCTTGAGCCAGGCATCACCTCAAAAACTTCCAATGAATCTTCGTCCTCCCCTTGCCCAATCACCACCAGCTCTGAAACAGTGAGAGCCACTTCAACTTCTTCATCTATTGGATTAGTCTCATGGTCTTCTAATATTTGCTAATCACACCTAGTCAAAGGGAACTCATTGATATCAACCGGAGCAACCGACTGCATTTGAAGTTGTCCTTCCTCCTAAAACCCCAGCTCAAGGCCCTTTCGATTGATGAACTCGTTGACACAAGGGGTTCTACTAGAGGATTTAAGCCAGTTCCTATAAACCTTGTTTGACCCTAGGTTGGGTTCATGATTGGCTCACTGGATAAACGGGTTGGGCTAACAGGTGGCATGACCTCAAATGGCCCCCTCAATTGAGTAGTAGTGGTTCCTTCTTGTGTCATGCCCAACCCTACAATTAAGACTTCTTGTCTCCTCACAATCATTTGATGAGCATTTTTTGCAAAGGACCTACTTCCCTGCATTCACCTCCCATTTGCCCCAACTTTTCTCGATGAAGACCCAACTGGCCCAATCTCTCAATAGATGTAGACACCACTCCTTCAAAAAAGTCCTTTTCATTCAAAATTTGAAATTTCTGAATCCCAACCTCCCTTACTAACAAGCAAGTTGAGCTGCGGTTGTAAAAGGCTCCTTTGGTCACAAGGTATGGATGACTGCCACATCAACGTCATCTTACACACACTGGTTCCCCACCGCTGTGATTTCCGTCGTGTCATCAAGGTCTTCTCCAGATCCGAACAGTCCCCCCCAATAGAATCTTGCACTATCTCCTTCCCCTTTAGCTTTGTCCTAACTCCCCCTGTCCTGGCCTACCAACAACAACTGAATCCAATCATGATGACCTACCACCAACTCCCTCCAGTCCGCTGAAATGTTTTTCTCTGGCAACAACTCCAGCCACAGTTCTCTGTCCACAATACACACTGAGGTTGGAGGGTGGCCTTGCCTTTTCACCTGAATACGAATCCACTCTGCTGACCCACCAATTTTACTCTTCAAAAAACATGCTTTCATGTGTGGATTCAAGAAGGATTCTTCTAAAAAGTCCAAACCTCTCTCAATGGATCAAGAACAACTCCGTAAAGTGCATGCCTCAAACTTGATGGCTTGCTGCAGCCATCCCATCTTGACGCCCACTTACCTTCCTATGTCCACATCATGACACCAACCTATCATCATCAAAAGCAAAAAAAAAAAAGGGAAAACCACAAAGAGAATAATATAGATGCAACAAAACCCTCTCATTTCCTGTTTACTGGATCAGCTACATCTTTGTTCACACAAGGAGCGGATTATTTCTGGGGCCCTTCTTAATGATCTAGTTTGTACTTACGTATCTTTTATAGAAGAGCTCATTTATAGGCTTAGTGATAAGGAGCGCACAACACCTATTAAGACTTCTAGGAGGAAAAATGTACTTGAAATATGCCCTGATACAGCACACAAATGGTGATTGGGAGTTGGGCTGAATTTGATAGAAGGGAATACTTTAGTAATTTCAGTATGTTTCTGCTGTGGTCCAACCAAGGAGTCCTTTAATCTTTTTCTTTAAATGCAATTAGCTTATATTTTAGATCTCATATATAGTTGTAGTTGCTTAGCAGCTATTTAGTTTTCTATGGGCTATGGTTATTAATGGCAGAATTGTAATAATAAACTAGAGGTGGGGTTGATAGACTGTAGAGATAGTTGTTAGTGTGTGGTCCCACTTTATATCTTTATATTATTTCATGTTATTTTATGGTAGTCAGGCTAGATATATTTGTTTTATATTTATTTCTGTTTCCTATGTTGGCAACAGGAGTATTAGTGTAACTCCACTAATGTTAAGTTACAAATATATAAATAATAGACTGATGGGGCAGCAAGATAACTTTTTTTGTTGATAAATGAGTGAAATTTTATTAGACCAGCAAATAAGAGTTTATGCATCCCGTGGAAAGGCACGAGGGGCAGCAAGATAACTTAACCCACACCCTTTTCTCTTCTCTTCTTCTTCTTCTTCTTCTTCTTCTTCTTCTTCTTCTCTTCTGTTCTTGACCTTTTTTCTCTTCTTTTTCCTACTGAATTCATATCAGAAAACAAACAGTTTCTGGTTTCTTTTATTCAAGTTGATATCAGAGCAAACCTAGGAGAGATTAGGGTTCTCATGTGAGCCTGATCCAGTCAGCTACATGAAAACTTCTTAGGACTGGAAGCTCTGCATCACCGCCTGATCCTTGGAGGTTGCTGGAGTCTTTGGTTGCTGCCCAAGGGATTGCATGACCTTTGGAGAATGCCCGGTGACCAGGAAGGATCGGAGAAAATAGGTAAGTCCAAGATTAGGGTTTAAACTGAAGATTGAAGGTGACAATCAACTTTCTTCTGAGAAAATACTTCTTTTTATTGAGATCGACCTGGAATAAGAGCAGTTTAAACCACTCTGCAAGCAGCGGTTGACAGTTCTCTGCTTTCCCTGTTCTTTTCTCTAGGGTTTTCAAACCCTACGATCAGTTCTTTGCTCCCAGGCTTGTTATTTTGACTGTGGATGATTTCTGGGTGATAATTCG